GGCTGAGTGCTGTCCCATGTGATTGGCCAGCGGTGAGGCAGGGGCGGGTCTCTGGGCCTGCAGGCTGATGGGCTGCATGGGGACCCCAGGCCAATGCTCCCTGCAGGGAGGGCCGGGCACACCCACCACCTCGGGCCAAACTGGGCTCCGGACCCGGGCTGGTCGCCCACCTGTGTCACATCGCTCAGCTTCCCACGACGTTCCTGGGGGAGAGGAAACACCCGTGAGAGGCGGGACGGCCAAGCCCTGGCCCCTCCGCACCAGGAGGAGATGGAGGCCTTTCTAGATGCTTCCATAGGAGGCTGGTCCCCCAGCAAGGCCCAGCCTGCCCCCTGGGGAGGCCCCTGGTTGTGCTCCCTGGAGGCAGAGTCTGAGGCTCAGCTGCCTCCTGGGCCCCAGGGCAGCCTCGGGGACACGGGGAGAGCGGGCTGCTCGGTGGGGAGGGCAGCGAAGGGGCGTCTGCACCTCGGACCACAGTGGGGTGAGCCTGGGGGGAGGGTGACTGTCTCAGGTCCAGAGAGGAGTCACCAGGGTTTGCAAGTCCGGGCCCTTCTCTGACTTCCTGAACTTTGTGCAGGGAAAGGTGGAGAAGGTTTCTCTTTCAGTGATTCTGCACCAGCACGTGGAGAGTGTACATGTATGATGGTCACATGCCCATTCACAGCACGTGTCATGGGTAGTTCAGGGTACATCCTATATAATAAAAGCCTAATATGCTAAGTGTCTGGTTGTCCAATTGGCTATTCAACCATTCACTGTGTAATATGCTAATGATATGCTAAGACCACTCAGCTGCTGGCTATGATGTGCACTGACCACTAGAGGGCAGACATTCCCACCGGTAGGTTAGCTCCCTCTGGGGTCTGGTCAATCGGGACTGGGTGAGAGGGCCATTCACGCCCTGGAGCCCTCTCATGGTCCCTCCCCAGCTGGCTAACCTCCCACGTCCCTCCCTGGCCTGTGCCCTCTCACAATCCGAGCTGAGGGCCCCCCCCCACCCAATGAGTGCATGATTTTCATGCACCAGACCTCTAGTATAGAACACTAGAGGCCCAGTGCATGAAATTTGTGCATGGGGAGTGGGGTGTGTGTCCCTCAGCCCAGCCTGAACCCTCTCCTATCTGGGACCCCTTGAGGGATGTCCAACTGCCCGTTTAGGCCTGGGCCTAAATAGGCATTCGGACATCCCTCTCACAATCCAGGACTGCTGGCTCCCAACCGCTCGCCTGCCTGCCTGCCTGATTTCCCCTAACCACTCCCCTGCAAGCCTGATCACCCCTTAACTGCCCTCCCCTGTAGGCATGGTTCCCCCCCCAAACTGCCCTCCCCTGCAGGCCTGGTGTCCCCCAAGTGCCCTCCCCTGCTGGCCATCTTTTGGTGGCCATCTTGTGTCCACATGGGGGTGGCCATCGTGTGTTGGAGTGATGGTCAATTTGCATATCACCTCATTATCATATAGGATTTGCTCAATGTCTGTGGCCACAGCTTGGCTCACAGCCTCTGGCCGACGTTGGGTTTTAAACGTTGCCCAACTTCCTCTAGCCCAGTGGTTCTCAACCTTCTGGCCCTTTAAATACAGTTCCTCATGTTGTGACTCAGCCATAAAATTATTTTTGTTGCTACTTCATAACTGTAATGTTGCTACTATTATGAATCATAATGTAAATATCTGATATGCAGGATGGTCTTAGGCGACCCCTGTGAAAGGGTCGTTCGACCGCCAAAGGGGTCGCGACCCACAGGTTGAGAACCGCTGCTCTAGTCCCAGACAGAGAGTCTCCGGAGGTCAGGCCGGCCATGCTCAGGGGTCTGAGGCCGGGACGGGAGGGATGGGCCTGCACAGGCCGGAGAGGAGTGTGGTCCCCATCCCGCCCTCCACACCCTCCCCGTAGAGGGAAGGGCCTGTTCTCCACCCAGCCCCTGCTCCACACCCTGAGAACCCCCTTGTGTTCAGGGTCCGGGCGGCCACCCCTGGGAGGGCGGGAGGGCCTCACCTTTCTCTCCACGAGCCCCCTTCTCCCCTCGGTCTCCTGCAGAGAGAGGAGGGTCAGCACAGGCTCGAGGACAGGACAGGCTCATGCCAGACCCCGTCAGCCAGAGGACTCGCCTGTCCCCAGCCTCCTGGGGCTGAGAGAGCCCAGGGCGGGGACAGGTGACTGGGCAAGGGATCCGGGGTCTTGTTTCTGTGCCGGGTCAGTGCTGGGCTGGGGTTGGGATCCACCCTGGGCCCCCTTGTGTGCCCTGTACACAGACCCCGGCCCTGGGTGAGGGAGCACCCTGTTGGGCGCAGAGTTAGGGTTATGGATAAGGTTGGAGTTAGGGTTACGGATATGGATAGGGTTAGGGATAAGGATAAGGTTAGTGTTAGTGTTAGTATGAGGGATAGGGATAGGGTTAGGGATAAGGATAAGGTTAGGGTTAGTGTTAGTATTAGGGATAGGGTTAGGGTTAAGTTTAGGGATAGGGATAGTGTTAGGGTTAGGGATAGGGTTAGGGTTAGGGTTAGGGATAGGGATAACTTAGGGTTAAGGATAAGGATAGGGTTAGGTTTAGGGTTAAGTTTTGGGTTACGGATGAGGATAGGATTAGTGTTAGGGTTTGGGATATAGAAAGGTTTATGTACAAGGTTACTGATAGGGTTAGGGATTATGATGGATTTAGGCATAAGGATAGGGTTAGGGTTAGGTACAAGGACAGGGTTATGGTTAGTGTTTATGATAAGGATAGGATTATGGTTACTATTACGTTATGGTTAGGAATTATCCAATGTGACACCCGGGAAGTGCCCCTCCCCTCTCCCTGCCCCGGGGGTTGGGAGTCCTGCCCAGACCCTCCATGCTCTTTGTTGAGTTACCTTTGGGTCCCGGGGGTCCCGCCTTCCCAGAGACTCCTGATGGGCCTGGTTGTCCTGCAAATTCAAACATGTCGGTGAGCAAACTCTGGGGACCCAGGCCCCTAGCGCCCCAGGTTTGACCCTCGGGAACCAGAGGGAGGAGACCCGGACCCCAGCCTCCTAGTCCCCGCTGTCCAGTCAGAGGCCAGGACCTGCGACCAGGGGCCTTCCCAGGGGACCTGGCCTGAGACCAGCTCTGCCCTCATCCGGGGACCCTGGGCGTTTCCATTGGCTGTGACTGCCGGGCCCGCTGTGTTCCCCCCTGGAGACAGGCCCCCCGGGCTCAGCTGGGACCATGGAGGGCAGGGAGGACAGTCCAGCCGGGTCCCCCCGCAGCAGGTGCGTCATCACCAGGAGCCGTGCTGGCCGCCCACACAGGCCCGGCTGCTCTGTGGTGACCTGAGACCAGCTCCCTCCCACGGGGACCCACACCCCAGTGGACCAAGCCCCAGGCTCCTCCTGAGACCTGCTAGGGGCCCTGCCCTGCTGGGTCTCCCTGGGCAGGGACTAGGCCCAATCTCCCTCACCCGGGCACTCACCTTTCCTGCCGTCGGCGCCTACCTCTCCCTTGGGCCCCTGGGCCCCGGGCAGCCCTGGGCAGCCCCGGAGGATGGTGAGCTTGTCGGCCTCCAGCCCCAGCACCTTCACTTCTGCAGAGAAGCGCGGG